CTCAAATAAATAAATAAAATCTTTAAAAAAAAATAAAATTAGGTTTATAAAGTAAGATTTTAATAACAAGAGAACATGTTTATGAAATCATGTTAAGGAAGAAAAGGCAAGATGCACAATTTTATACAGCATTATAATTATAGTTATTTGTATGAAGGGGAACACACAAGACAGAGTAAAGGATATGTACAAAAATGCTAAATGTGCCTACTCTTGAGAAAAAGAGCTGTATGTTTTCCTTCCTCTTTTCTTTCTATATTTTGTTCATTATAACTTGTCAAAATAATTGCTTTCGTAACAGGTTAAATATGATGGTAACAACTTGCATTTGTGTACTGCTTTATAATTTACAAAATACTTTCATATCCATTATCTCATTTGATAAGCAAAAGGGTTATTATTTCATCTACAACAGAAGGGTTCCTAACCACCCAGCTTCCCTACAGCACTGGCATATGAATAACTAGTTGACTGAAAGCAGAACTTATGAAAGAAAAACCGAAAGCCAAAGTGTTAAGAGCCACTGTGAATTGAAAAATCCATAGTAAATGAAGAGACTCCTATTGGAAAATAACAAATGTGAAGGAGGAACAGAAGTCAGTCTGCACACAGTTCCCCCAAATAGTAGCAAATGCACAATTCTACAGCACATTTTCCATTTCTACTTCTAACCACCTGCTGGGACCAGAAGCATCTTCCTGGCATTGTTTTGCTTTGTTTCATTTCCACCTTAAATTTGTTGGGCATACTTTATTCTTACTAACTAATCTACTCCTTTTGTTTCAAATAAAATGAACCCAGAGAATATTTTAACATTATTTAAGATGTGTTTTGCTTTTAATAGTGTCTTTATGAAGGGAAAAGTTATTTGTACCATAATGGTTGATGAAAGGATCAAATCATGAAACTTTACATACCACTGTCCACACTCCCCCACTGGCAAAACAAACAAACAAACAAAAAACAAAACAGAAAAACCCTGGGGGATAGGGAGGGAAACAGGCAGACTAAAACAGAGCCAGAGGAGAAGAAAACAGTTTAAAAGGAAAGAGCAAACTAACAAATGGGGGAGAAGGGTGAGGGTAGCAAGACTAAGTCACCAATGCACACAATGGTATGGCATGGTACTATTCTGGTGACAAAGGACACCACCTTTGGCTTGGCCCGTGGCAATAAACTGAGTCTTTTAGGCTACAGACACTTCAGAATCTCTGTAGTAACCCCCAAATTCTTTACTATTCATAATGACACTTCCCTAAGGAACAGAAGATAAATTAGGGTGAATTCTGAAACTAGCAAAAATGCACAAAGGAAAATGCTTGGCTCTTGTTTTTATTGAGGACATGAGCTGAGGGAGCATCTTATCTATAGTAAGTCAACTGCTATCTTATCTGTGCGTCGTCATTCCTACCTGCCAAAGAGTATTTTTCTTTGGGGACTCATCTTCATTTTGATCCTCCATAACTGAAGTGTTCTAAGGGGGGAAAAACAGGTTATTTGAATTATGCCGAGTTTTACAAATCCTAAATAACTACAACAAAATATAATTTTGAAATCCCAAACTAGAATGTATCGACACAAACCCAAGAACTATTTGGCTTGTGACTAACACGTGCCATTTTGGGTCAAGAGGGTTGTGCTCATCTTTCATAAATCAATACAGTTAGTGGCTGGACAAAAGTAAGCATAAAGTCTTTATTTATGAAGGTTGGGCATGCCTAGAAAACAGCTAAATTATGGGACTGGGACTGAGGCTCTACCTCAGTCGTCACTGTTACTCTTTCACTTGTGGCAAGAAGCCCAGAGACCCACTAAATTCTTGATGATTGCTCAAAGCATTTAACTAGAATGTCTGCTATTCAGGAATCCATCCCAACCATCATTCAGCAAGTAGGACTGACAAAGCTCTGGAAGCCCTCTCTGCTTTTCTCCTTCCTCCCTTGATAACGTTGTTTTTCTGGACGGGCTTTACAATCTCCCTTAGCAAGCATGGTGGGTACTCCAACTTTTTCCCTGAAGAGGAGGATGCTGGTAGCCAGTAACAATCTGGCTTGCCTTGGGAATGCATTAGCTTTTGATTTTTGTGTTTACTGCACAAAGAGGCACTGTGTAATCTTTCTGGTGACCTAGTCGCTCAATAGATGCCCATTAACTGGAGATTATACATGATTGGATTTTCCCTTTTGAAGCTCCTACCTAATGGCTAAATGGAAACTTAATGAGAAGGGAAAGTGGGAGAGTTGTGCTCTGAAAGGAATGACAATTTAAGTCCCTCTAAGATTCCTTCCCAAACCTAAAATTCTAACATTAGGGTATAAAATTTATAACATTCCGTAGCAGTATTCAAAAGGATCCTACAGATCTGTTTAAGTTATGAATGTTTACAAGATTCTGTTTATTGCCTTTGGGGATAAGCCTATCTCTCAAAATTTCCCTATTTTTCCTTTATTTTCTTCAAGTCTTCAAACCCATACAGTATTCTCAAACAATCTGTTTGAAAAACCCAATGTGGGTAATGACAGAAGAAATACCACTGAACACTAGTGCACTGTAGGTCACATTGCTGGCTCTGATGAGGGATACAGTATGATGTAGTACAAGAGTCAAAGGCCTTGAAACCAGAGAGATGCTGGAATGCCAATCTGGTCACTCATCAGTGCGTGTGTGCGTGTGTTCGATCTTTGGACAAATACAAACCATATAAAAGTGTTGTGGGGATTCAGACTCCCTAGCACACTGCTTGGTGTGTAACTGGTATTCAAAAAAATCTGTTTATGTCCTGTTTTGAAGATGCTACTTTCCCCCAAGTGCTATCTTCTCATACTTTTCTAACCTCAGACTTTGAGAGAATAGCTCCAGATGGCTGCGTATAGAGAAAATCCACTGGCTCCCTCACTAAAATCTTGTAAGCCCCACAGCGCCAAGGTCTGCAATGGGGGAGAGGGGCAGAAGGGCCAGGCTTCCTGTATGAGAAAGCCAAGAGCTAGAGAGGAAGGCAATGTGTCCAAGAGGCCAAAACAGGTCTAGAGTGAAGACAGATAAATGATCCTGAATGGGAAGAAGAAGATGGAGTATAGAAAAACAAAAGTAGTATTTTTCCATGTAATTTTCCTTTTACTGCTATCTAGAAGGACTTGGGATTAATAAAGTTGGCAGGGGAGTGAATAAAGGGGGAACAGTGACTCGGTACATCATCTTCTGGGTCTGACTGGTAGTTGCAAAGCCATCTTTGCAAGGTCACAATGTCCTCGGTTCTAAGAGAGTGAGAAGAAGAAAGTATGGCTGGAAACATGAAAAGTTAAGTATATAAAGTAGAGGAAAGATGGGAGGTCCCTGCCCCCATCTTCAGGCACCCCAGGAAATGTATGAGGGATGCATAAATGTAGTGTTTTAAACTAAAAACTTTTGTTATACAGGAGGAGTCTGAACCCACCAGAGCTATTCTGACCTAAGCTACCTAAATAGCTTCCTCACTCAGGGAGGAAATAAAAGTCAGAAGTCCCCACAGACTACACAAGAAACAACCTTCTTTACAGTTTAATTCTTCCTTTCATTCATTCCAAAACAGAGAAATGGTGTTTATTTATATAGCTGAGAAAGAAACAAACCCTCTGATAAAAATAGCAACTATTCTCTTAAGGCCTGATAAAAGTGAATAAAGATATACAATTTAATAAAAATATATTTAATAAAGCCCTAGGGTGGCTAGAATAGCTCCCCCATCATACATATCTTTTCAACTTCTCTCATAAAGCCCTCAGGAGAAGATGCCAAAGGGACAATGCTGCTCTCAAGCTACACTGATCAAAGGAGCATTTCCAAGGAGTATTCCAGGTGACACAAGAGATGCTCAGAGCGAAAAGGGTCCCAGGGTCTAATTAAGTTTGACAAATGCTGTATGCTCCTGTGCATGCTCTCTCCTCCCAACCTCACCCCCTTTTTTCCCTCTCCCTCTCTCTCTCTCTCACACACACACAGTCACAAAATATCTCATTAAGATACTAAAGGCTCTGTAATGTCCTATAATTAAATCATGTTAAATTAGTTAAATCCAGCTTTCCCAAGTTTGTTGGACATGGACATCCCCCTTTTATATCTCTTAGTAATAGTTCAGCACATACTGGCAAACACTGGACTAGGACACTAGCATGGCATAATCCCTTCCTCCTCCCACTTTACTGGGCAAATATTTCTGAGAGATCAAGGAAATACCACTTTTGCTAAGTATAATATATTCCTCTCCTATTCCCCATCTTTGTCAGCCTACAACATGGGACTGTGAGGATAAGGAGGGATGGCATGAATAGAAAATTCTCTTATAAGAGCCAAAATTTTTCTTAATCACTTTGACTTTTACTCCTTAAATATTAAAATAGACACAAGGTCGCAGGTTCAAGGGTGAGGTAAGAAAGAACAATGAGTCTGCCAGAAGAAAAGAAAGGTGTTTTCCTACCTCCATACTCTCAGATGAAACTTTATGAGTTAAGCCAATCTGAAAGCCGAAACCCTCATTAAGTCTTCAACACTTCGGGGAGAGGAAAGTTCTTTGAAATACAAACCTGACTTATTCACTTCCTACCCTTCTCATCACCATCACTTTCTTCCTACATCTACCAAGCAGCATTACATGTAAATAAAAATGCAGACCTTTCTATTCTGATACTACTTCCAATGAAAGACACAATCTAGGAAGAAGCAGCTAGACTTGAAGGCTTATCAACTTGAGGACTATTGACATTTGGGGTCAGATAATTCGGTGTTTTGGGGGACCTGTCATGTGCACTATAGGACGGTTCACAGCATCCCTGGCCTCTATGTGCTGGATGCCAGGAGCAAGGGGGGAAGGTACCAGCAGCAATACTTGAGAGCCACTGCTCTAAGGGGGTGGCCTGTTTGGGAAGCTGTACTTAATGAATTGCCATTTAAGGCCTGGCCTTTCTTTCTCTTCAGGCGTCTTTCCTTTGGCCCCTGTGACAGTACGTGATTTCTTCAAATGGAGTCTGATATCACCATCACCAAGTAATTCATGGAATATGTAGATATCTAAGTTCTGGTGTAAGATCCACTTGCCATTAAATTCATACTGGGGAAAATCTGAATCCGGAGTTCTTTGCTAGAGATGGCTTGGGGGTGTGGATAAGGGCTACAAATACCTTTAAGTCATATACAAAAGTTAGTGTATATACATGCCTATGTCTCTGCATTAAAAAGACCGCAATGGCAAAATGATGTGGTCTATGTAGTAGCACCAGCCTAAGTAAGGAAACTGCACTGATACCATCACAACAGACTCCATCCCAATATGTGGTATTTCAGAACTACCAAATACTACAAGAATCCAATGCCTGTTCCTTCTCTTATAAAGTCTTCAAGAGAAGATGCCAGAGGGAAAACGCTGCTCTCAAGCTATACTGTTCAGAGAATCATTTCCCACGAGTGTCACTGCTGAGAGCTTATTGTACCCACACAAAGACTCACCTCATACAGTAAGTAAGACTGGGAAAGATGATGGAGAATAGGAGAGGAATATATTGTGTTTATCAAAGTGGTCACTTCCAGGTGATATCTCGATGCTCAGACAAAAAAAAAAGGGCCCCAGGGTCTAATGAAGTTTGACAAATGCCATATGCTACAAAAGCACCTGGCACTCTCCCTCCCCACCCCCGAAGTTAAAACACACTTCATTAAGATACTGAAGGCTCAGAAATGTCTCATAATTGACAGCCGGTTAAGATAGTTTAACCTAGCTTTCCCAAGTTTGTTGGACAGGGACACCTCCCTTTTATAATAATACCTAATTTTAACAATAGCTCAGCACATACTGGCAAAGACCAGACTAAGGCAATCCACAGGCAATGCATAGCCTAAGTCCTTCCTCCTCCCACTTCACTGGACCAATGCTTCTGGGAGACAAAGGAAATGACCACTTTGGTAAACACAATATATTCCTCTCCTATTCCCCATCATCTTTCCCAGACTACTTACTATATGAGGTGAGTCTGTGTATAGGTACAGTAAGCTCTAAGCAGTGATTTATCTTTGCCAGTAGGTGCCACCAACAGAATATATTTCACTTGGAAAATTCTCTACTTGAAGAGTTATATAAGAGGAATAAATTTCCTACTTTAAAAAAGCTGCAAACTCTGCAATATGAGTTTCATGATGAGAAATGCTTATAACAATGTAAGATTTTCGGGGCGCCTGGGTGGCTCAGATGGTTAAGCGTCTGCCTTTGGCTCAGGTCATGATCCCTGGGTCCTGGGATCGAGCCCCACATCGTGCTCCCTGCTTGGCGGGGAACCTGCTTCTCCCTCTCCCTCTACTGTTCCCCCTGCTTGTGCTCTCTCGCTCTATCAAATAAATAAATAAAATCTTAAAAAAAAAAAAGTAAGATTTTCATACAAAAAGAATCTTTACTCTTGACAGGAAGCAAAAAAAAAAAAAAAAAACACCCTACAAAGGATCTGGAAAACA